CAAAATCCTTAGGGATCAGCGAGCCAATCAGAGCTCAGCTCAGGAATTAGAAAACGATACAGGGTGTGCATATCATTCTTCAGTGGATTTCAGTTATTCAATGGGGGGTGGGGATGGGTGCTGAATGCTGGTTTGCGGCCAAATACCGATGTACTCGATGAACTGTGACGTGCTTTCACCGAGCTGTTCAACTGTCGTTATTGTTTTCCAAATCATCACAGGAAAAGGTGTACAGTTCTTATATCAGACGGACATCATCATCGAAGTATTCGGATGAACACCACGAAAAAAMATTCTTGAAATTCTTAACGTACGAGTGGGTTACAGACCAGAAAGCAGACGCTAGGCAGGCTAGCAGTTACATGTACTAGCTCTTGCCAAAGATTTGCCGGAATTTAACGGAGCAATTTAGCCTTTGAAACTCCAACATTACACTCGAATGTTCAACATTTTCGATATTCAGCTCTAAGAGTCGAGAATCATTATGCATTATTCAGTTATGGAAACAACTGTTTCTCTCGTAATTTGATAAACTTTTGCGYTTGAATATTTCGAAAATGAATTGCAGAAATTACCCATGATGCAACAGATACATCGACATCAACGGAAATATCCCGTAGTCATGACACGTGACACTATGTCTAGTTAATGCTACTTTAGTATTACACAGATGATTCTACATGTACTATTTAAGAGTGCATATGAACAAAACTTATAATCGAAACTATCCAAATACAACTTAACCCTATTCACCTCTAGGAAGCGCTGGGACTACAACTCCCATCATAAATTAAATAAATATTTATATTGTATACAGCTATTTGCAATAATTCTGACCCCCCAACACTAATATTCATATATATCAAAGTAGCCTTAGAAATTATGGGATACCAATGCTGATATTTTTTTGAGAAAGTACTCATTCTGGGCAACTCAACAAATATATCAGTCATGATATCCCATAATATTTAAGGTCAGTTTGATATATATGAAATATGGCAGAGGGGGTCAGAATTATTGCAAACAGCTGTATATAAATATTAAAAAATATATACTTCTTCAGAGTTTGCTGAAGAAGGCCGAAGTGCCGAAACGTTCGAATAAAGAGTAGGAATGCTAGTTGCAAGTTGTGTGCCTTTTTCTTCAATTTATTCAATTTAA